TGCTGAATTGGTTGAATTTTTTGAGGTTGAATTATTTGCAGTTGAATATTTTAACGTTGAAAAAGATTAAGATACATAATTTCAATGCATGAATATTCAGTGCTAGAAATTCAATCACCTTTTTATTTATCATTCTGCCTTTCCCACGTTAAACTTCAATACAGACAATTATGACTCTTTTAGCATAAGACTATGTTATAAAATATTTTACCATTACAGTATGTTTTGGAAGGTGGTGTCATCCTCAATTATGCGCTGCTGTATTTCTCGTAGCCTAACGGAATTATTTGCTATCACCATGTTGACTATGTGTCTCTTGTTCTGCAGTGAACATTCTTCCTCTGCCCCCAGCATCTGTTCATCTAGCAATTCTGTAATGTAACATATAAACTATACTTGTAAACAACTTCTACAATTGCAACTTCCCCTTTTTCTTCTTAAGTAAACTTACTCGAACAAGACAAACTTAAAAGGTACACATTGCCTTTTCCTTCCTTGCAAACAAAACAAACTAAAGATAGTCTAGCAACTCTCAATCAACCTCATAGGTGGCTGAACATATCTCCTAGGTCTAGCCTGTCTTTCAGCAGCCGGCGATTTCAGCAATCTGAAAGGTGTCGCCTCAGCCGTTGACGCAGACGTCGCTGTCAGACCACTGTCCGATAGCTCAGTTTGCGTTTGAGTTCTGTCATCGTTTCATCTGCATTTGTCTCTCTGCGTATTTGTTCTGTTCTGTCAGCTGTTACCGGCAGATTCAAGACAATCATATCCACATACGCCTGGATTCCTGCAGTGTCTTCGCTGTCCGCACGCCGCACAGTGTACATGTATTTCCCTTGTGTGTATATCATGTGTATGTCATATTTTTGCAGCCTGATTAGCATGCGCTGTATCCGTACAGGACAGTCATTCAGAGGTTTGGACATGATGGACACCAGAGGTTTATGGTCCGTTTCCACTTCAAAAGCTTGACCATAGACATATTGGTGAAAACGTTCACATGCGTACATGCTCGCTAACAGCTCCTTCTCGATTTGAGCATACCTGGACTCAGCGCTTGTCAAGGCTCTGGATGCATAAGCAACGGGTAGCCACTGCTCATCGTATTCCTGCAGCAGCACCGCTCCCAAGCCGTACTGTGACGCATCTGCTGAAATCCTTGTTTTCTTCTCTGGGTCATAAAACTTTAACACGGGCTCTTGTGTCAGAGTCTCTTTCAGTTTCACAAAACATTGTTCCTGCTCATGGGACCAGATCCACTCATTCTTCTGTTCAAGAAGACTCCTGAGAGGTGCTGACTGCGCTGACAGCTGAGGGACAAATTTGGCCAGATAGGTGACCATTCCCAGAAAACGTCTGACCTCGTCTTTGTTGTTTGGTCTTTCCATGTTGTTGATTGCTGACGTTTTTCGCGGGTCGGGCTTCACCCCCTCTTCACTGACAACATCTCCCACAAAGGTAAGTGTTTTCACTCCAAACTCACATTTGTCTTTGTTAAGCTTCAGATTCACTTCCCTTGTCTTGTCTAGCACTTGTCTCAGTCTTTCGTCGTGTTCTTCTCGAGTCGACCCCCAGACTATGACGTCATCGATCATTGTCTCCACTCCTGGTATGTGCTCAAAGATCATATGAATAGTCTTATGGTAGACTTCAGGCGCTGACAGGATACCATACGGCAGACGAAGAAACCTGTACCTGCCCTCAGGTGTGTTGAATGTGCACAGCTTCGAACTCTCCTGGTCCAGCCTCAGCTGCCAGAAACCTGATGAAGCGTCTAGTTTGCTGAACCATTTAGCTCCAGCAAACTGTGCCATGATTTCTTCTCTGGTTGGTAACTTAAAGTGCTCTCTTTTGATCGCTTTGTTTAAGTCTCTTGGGTCCAAGCACGTTCTCAGAGCACCGGTTTTCTTTTGTACTACAACCAGCGAGCTGACCCATTCAGTTGGCTCATCTATTTTCTTGATGACCTTTAGTTTTTCCATGCGCGTTAGTTCCTCTTTCAGTTTTCCACGCAATGCAAAAGGAACTTTCCTACAAGGATGCACAACAGGAGACACACTTTTGTCTATGCATATTTTGCGTTCTCCGGGTAGACATCCAAGTCCTTCGAAGCAGTCTTTATACTCCTCCATCAGTGAGTCATGATCATTGGCAGTTTCTGATGATGTGACTACAAACACTCTTTTGACCAGGTTGAGCTTTGTACATGCCTTGAGTCCCAGGATTGGTTGTGCACTCGTATCCACAATCAGTAGCAATGCTCTTATCTGCTGGTCTCTGTATTTGAAAGTTGCGATGCATCCGCCTTTAACAGGAACCCTTTCACCAGTGTATCCTGTCACCTTTGTTTTTATTGGATGAATTTTGCTTTTCACTGCCAATGTCTTGTAATCCTCATAAGATAACAGGTTTACCTGGGCACCTGTATCTAGCTTGAATGGTATTACCGTCTTGTTCACTTCGATTGGCACAATCCATTCCTCTTTTTCATCAGTCCGAGCCTGCACCACATCCACAAGGAACTCCCCATCATCCTCTTCTTCCTCACCAACTGTGTGAACCTTCTGTTTAAAAGCGGACTTGCAACATTTTGCATAGTGATTGTTCCTTCCACAGTTGTTACAGGATTTTCCATACGCAGGACATGATTTTGGCTCGTGGCTGCCTCCACATTTACCACATTTGAATTCTGCAGATTTCTCTTTCTGGTCTTTTTGTTTAGTAAATGTTTTCTTATTTCTCTGTTCTTTATGTACTGCATGCACTGTAGTTTCACCTCTCCGAAGCTCTTTTGCTTGTGCTCGAGTTGTTTCTGCTGCTCTGCACATTGCCGGTTGCCGGTTGCCGGTTGTCCTCTGCTTCAGGCACAAGATCCTCTTCTACATGTTCATCATCTCCCGCTTCACTTCCACTGCCACTTGTAGCCATCACACGACGTAGCAAACTCTTTTAGCATGTTGACTTGTTAGCACGTTACCTCACGCGACCGGAGATTTCTTTTTTCTCTCTTTTTCCCGTCGTTCTCCCGTGGCAAATCTATCTTCATTAGATCTACAAGAAGCAGGCGAGGCGTGATATACGTTTCATGAACTTTTAATGTCAACTAGCACAGTCCGCTGTAATGCTACCCGGGGTCTGCCGCGCTCCGCACTGCGCATGTCCCTCACCACTGACTAGGGAATGCTGGGTGATGGAGTTCTTTACCTTAACAGTAACCACTAACATCTAGTAACATCACACTAACCAATTCCCATTTCGAAATGTCCTTATGATGCTTTCTACAGTGTAGTGGCTCAAGTTAGGCTGAACCCTTTGGCCAGCTTCCCTCAGGGTCATTGCATGGTTGATTACATCCACTCCCCACTATAGTAGCTCTGATGTTATCAGTACTTCCATTTCTTACTCTCTTGAGGCTGGCGCATGCTTCTGCGTCTGTGTCTGCGTCTTTACGTGCAGTTGTGTCGACGCACTCCTTTCAATTCATGGTTCAAAAAGGCTTGCACGTGTTGCAAAGCAATTCACCTCCAGAACAACAGGTGGAGTAAAGTTTTTTTGTTGAAGACGACCTAGAGAGTCACGTCTTTGTGTGTGGAAGTCGTTGGTTGCTTTATTTATTTATCAGAGACTTTATTGCCCCGTGCATCGACACAGCTGCTTTTCAGTGCGGACACATTTGTCCCGTATTTTCCTCCACAACTTTGTTCCCCTCGACCGGCAAACTGACGTTTGTGGAGATCTCCCTCCATGAATCAGAGGCCATCCACGCGTCCTTATAGTCCGCCAATGACGGGTTGTAGAAGTGGTCATATTCACGCATTTCTTCCCACAAAAGCTCTTCAATCTGATTCATTCTCTCGTAAAAAATCTTTGTTTTAATAACGGCCGTATTGTGCTATGAAATGGAAATGTGAGACTCCGTAAAGGATGTAGTTAGCAGACTAATCACAGCCTTGCGGTCTGCAGGAGGCTTGCGTAGCTTTTGACGCTAGTCTAGAAAAATGGGTCGACGCACGCAAGGAGGTGTGAAAAGGCACGCAAGGGACACGCAAGGGGCTCTTGCGTCTGCGTGTCCTTGCGTCTCTTGGAAAATGCAGAATGCTAGTCTTTACCCTTCCTCTTCCCCCTCCTCCTACAAATATTACAAATACTACTATGACTAATGGTATTAGTACAACAGCTGGTAAAACTAATACCACTACTAACACTACTACTTCTACTTTTTCTACTGCTATTTATACTAGTTTCAGCTTTTTTTATATCTGTTTTTTAGCAATGTTTTGAAATTCATTTCAGCTTTCCTTATTTCTGTATTTTTAACCATTTAAAAAAAATGTATTATGGATTTTTTAAATTTTTTTTAAAGCAATTTAGTGTGGAATAGTGCTTTAACTATTGATATATTAAGTGAATTATTCTATTATATATTTTATTTCTATATTTTTTTATTCTATATTTTATTCTATATATTTTTTTTAAACTAGAAAAGGTTATGGAATAGCATGAAAAAGGTAAGAAAATAAAGAATCTCTCAAAAATATTAATAGTAGTTGATACTGTCAATCAGTCAATAATACTGATAGAATAGAATGTCATTTACATAGACTAGTGAGCATTGTGGTTTCAATAGAGAACTGTGGATTGTTAGAGAAGATGTGTGTAAAACTCAGAGCTTGTTTATTCTGACATAGTTGTATTTAAAATGTTTCATAATGTATATGGTGTGACCTTATCAAAATGATTTCACACATATTTCCCATCAAAACATAATAACTTTACAAACTTTACTCTTTCATCATTCAGTTTAGTCATATGATTACGGACAACACTAAGAAATGATCCTTACTTACTCTTTACTCATGATACCAGACAATGCCCTTTACAGCAAACTAGTTCTTTCATGTGAAGCTTTTGCATCAACATTTGTAAAAAATAGTAAAAATAATGGCAAATAGTAGATCACTAGTGTTAAATGTTGATGTTTGTAAAAAACAAAACTCAAATCTTAATAATCCAGAATTCACAGTGGATAACAATTTATTTTCATCTTGTACAAAGAAACCCACCAAAACAGAGAATGTGAAAATAAATACCCCAGAATAGTTGAACAAGTAGAATATGGAGTGAACTTACAAAAATAAGTCATTATTTTAGGTAGACACCATTATTCGCTTTTTGTTACGAAAATAATAAACCCCAAAAACTGACACTGTAGCACAGATTCCAAATAGTGGAAATATGAATCTCCTGTAAGCAATTTATGTTTGAATTTCCAATAAAGCGAAGAATGCTAATAAATGTAAGCATAACAGAAAATCCAGGAACACAGCTGGGTTTAATTTCCTCACAACTTAAGCAGGAAAAATGAGTTTCTTCTTTTTCAATGAACCTTTGGATCAATATTTCAGAATGAAACAAGGGAATGGTGTGGATAAAACAACCAAGCATTTACTGTTTTAACACTATTTTTATAATTGTTATTGCCACTTTGTATTAACACAAAGCTTTGATGAACTGTAATGACACATCAATCTGTCTTGAGACCTTAAACACCTTAAATGAACAGTATTTTACCATTTAATATTTTCTTGTTTGAGTTAATTTTGATTAACACCAACTGTGAAGTTAGATTATCTTCTTTGCTGAGAATTCTATTTCTTAAATATTATACCTTGGCCATGTACTGTACGTGGGTCAATACAGCAGCAAACCCCCTAAAACCAAAAATACCAAAAAAACTAAAATCTTTTATTTCATTCTTTGAAATTACTTAATTTGCCCCATAAGCAATTGCAATTGAAGAAAATCCCCAAAACACAGTTCAACATGAATAATCTCGTAATTGTTTGTGTGTGTGAATTAATACAAAAAGCAATCGCATGAAAAGATCCCTCTACATTTACAGCATGTTATCATAACCGAGTAACAAGCCAGGGTGAATGATGTTCAAATACTACATGGAAAACCCTCCTTATGAAAGAACTGTCAGCAAAGCAGTCTTTGAGTGTGCACCTTCTTAAATTTTTTTTTAAAAACTGTTGAAAATGGGCCCCATGCCGAAAACTGAATCAAACATAACCATGCCGGAGTTAAACGTCAGGACACCTTTTTATAACTGGATGATGTAGAAAGGAAACACCCAAAAAATCTACATCGGGCTATTTAAATCTCATTTTAACAGCAACTACAAGAAGATGAAGAAAATGCCAAGCTTAAAATAGGCATGTTTTAACACATCTTTGATATTGACTATTTTAACTCATTAATTATCCTTTTAAGTTAATCTTCCATCACTAAGCTCCTGTCCATTCATTGCCTTTGGCACAAAACCAGGAAACAATTCTCTTTAATATTTTGTGTAATAAAAAAAGAAAGGGGAATGCCTCTGGCTTTGTCGGCTAGCGTAATTGCTGTACCTGTCAGTACACTTGCAAAAAATTGGCAATAACATCTTAGCTTCTTAGTGTATATAAGAAGTCAGCAAAACATGCATGCAACTACTTTTACAAGCATCTTTCAACGCAAATTAGTAACTTTTTCTTTATTTTGAAACAAGATTCCAAAGTCCTTTCCAGAACATGTTCTGGGTGATTATTGGGAAATTACAAGATCAGTACAAAAAAAATAATTAATTAACCTTTGACAATATAGTAGTGGGAAAAGGAAAATATCCTGGTAGACTTTTTAGAGGTTTTAACCTGTTTTCATATTTTTGGAAGACTGGACAACCTGCTTACCTGCTTACCTCTCCCATCTATTAACATAGCAACATGGCAGGGGCAGGTTTAGAAAAAGGTCACACCTCACTTAGCTTGTTATGTCATGATTTGTTTTGAGGGAGTGTGACAGTTTAGACTTCGGTGACACTGGCCGTCAGCGGCTGCTGCGGCAGCTGGTCGGCGTCTTCGTCGTCGACACTCAAGTCCAACCTCAGGTTATCCAGGGTCTGACGGATGTTCAGGGTCTCTTTACGCCTGATGGAGGGACGGCAACAGACAGACATGGTGATTTGTTTCGTCCCAAACTGATCAGTTTTCTTTATACCATGGCTGTAAAACGCCTTGGCTGTAATATGCTTTATAGTGAGTGATTTTAATATTCATTCGGACAATCTTTGTACTTAATTTCTTTCATTGTTAGATTCAATTGGTTTCTGTCAGAGTGTAAATAAACAAACTCATTGTTTTAACCACACTCTCGACTTGGCTCTTGTATATGGTATTGGGATAGAACATTTAACAATCCTTCCGCAGAACCCTGTCTTGTCGGACCATTGTCTGATAACCTTTGAATTTCTACTACCAGAATCTTCTCCTCCTGCCAAGGGTTTCTACAGTCGATGCTTGTCGGATACCGCTGTAGCCTCATTTAAAGAAGCCATTCCTTCTGCTCTAAGTTCAGTGTCCTGCCTCAAGATATCACAAGACTCCTGTGAGAACCTCAGTCCGTCCCAGCCCTATCGTCTTGTCGATAGGGCTAGGCTCTTTGAGAGTAGGGCTGGACGCTATTGCTCCTCTGGAAAGAAGAATGGCAACAAGAAGGACGTTTGCTCCTTGGTATAACATGACATGACATCCATTGTAGTCTGTCCATCAGGAGAGGGATCACTAAGGTTTCTTCTCTTTTTTTCCCATGAAAGGGTTTTTCCTGGTCTGAGGAGGAAGCATGGCGCCAGTGTTTGGCTTTGCCGTTGCCCTCCTGGCACTTTCTGTTTCCCGGTATCGGATATTTATTGTAATATGCCTTTTAATGCCACTATTCTTGTCCACAAATGTATCAGCAGCGCTGGTTTACGATTGACAAATGCTGTTGCTTATTAGAGCTGAAATGACCAGTTGTTTGGGAATCGGTGATCCACCTCCGCTACCACCATGTGTCCACCTGTGTTTACCGGGCCACTGCCTCTCACTGCACCGTGACTGGAGAAGGGATTTTGCGCACCCGCCCAAGAAGCGTGGTAAACGGAGGAGGCGAGGGACTAGAGCGGGCCTCCAGGTTAAACATTGCCGCCTACGGAATTATTCCCATGCTGCCAACTGGACGGACTGCCTGCTCTTGGATTGTAACTTCACATCTCTCCACCAACCAGGCGTTGCCTGGTCACGGAGCCCTGCCAGATCATCCTATCTACGGACAGTGTTTCCGGATGTGCCCGGTGGATTGCTGAACAGGGATCCACCCTACACCATAGCTGGGATCGTCGTGGCCTGCCTACGCTCAGAATTATCGAGTGCTCATCCCCTTTTATCTACGAAGATTCAGTTATCGCCTCTGTGAATATGTGCTTGTTAAATGCCCGCTCTGTGGCGAACAAGGCGCATGTTCTGAATGATCTGTTTGTAAGGCAAAACTTGGACTTTTTATTTCTGACAGAAACCTGGCAACATAATTCGGAGTTTATTCATTTAAATGAGCTGTGTCCTGTTGCCTGCTCGTTTATTGGATCCCCGCATTTGTCCGGGCGCGGTGGAGGACTCGCCATGGTATGGAGAAATATATACCCCTGTCAGCTGGTGAGCGTGGAAACTTTCTCCTCTTTTGAACTGCAAATCACTAGAGTTGGTCAGATAAAGCCATTCTATTGTATTCTTATTTACCGCCCCCCTGGTCCTGCTGGGCAGTTTTTATCTGAGTTCACAGACTTTATGTCATCGATTATTACGTTTGAAAAGCTATCAATGATTGGGGATTTTAACCTGCACACTGACGTGACTGATAACCATGCTGCAAAAAATGGTAATACATGCTGCCAATAGTATTACTGGCTCACACAATCTAAAGCAGCATGTTCATGGGCCCACACATGCTGGTGGTCATACATTAGACCTTGTTTTTACACTAGGCCTGGAGGTTAATTCAATATGCTGTGAGGATATGTTGATCAGTGACCACAAGTGTATCTTTTTTAATCTCTCTACCACCGCTTATCCCCCCTGTCGGAAACGATTGACATGTCAGCGTATTATTACTCAAACAACTGTTGAGCAATTCATCTCCCAGTTTAGCTGTGACTTTAATACTATGGGTGATAATGATTTTGAGCTCTTAATGCAATCTTTTAAAAACCTTTGTTCCTCTGTGTTGGACAAAGTGGCTCCTTTAAAATTAAGATCTAAGCCTATCTGTAACGCCTCGCCTTGGATGACGGACGATGTGCGTTGTCTACGGAGGAGGTGCCGTAGGACTGAACGCCTGTGGAAATCCACTGGGCTTGAAGTACACCGTCTGTATCTTAAGGAGCATATGCAGGATTTTAACAATTTAGTCAGGAAATCCAGGTTAGCCTATTTTTCTAATTTAATTTCTTCTTCTAAGAGAAACCCTAAGGTTTTAATTGATACTATAAATAATATTGTTTCCCCTCCTGCCACTGTACCAATAACGTGCTCAAGATGACTGTAATAGGCTGTTGTCATTTTTTTATTGATAAGGTAGAGTATATTAGAGCAAATATTCAGCCTGGGACACACCTTCATGTGGACTGCCTTTCCTTACTCAGGCCATTGAAGTTTTCCAACCAATCAGCCTTCAGGAGTTGCTAAATATGGCTAAGAAAATAAAAATGTCCTTTTGTCCACAGGATATAATACCACCCTCATTATTTTCAAATAACTTCCTACCATTGGCCCTAGTATAGTGGCTATTGTCAACTCGTCATTGGCCACAGGCTGTGTCCCATCCTACTTTAAATATGCCACAATCCAATAATAAAGAAGCCTAATTTGGACCCAACAGTGTTAAAAAACTAAAAATCGCCCCATTTCAAAGCTGCCATTAATGTCCAAAATTCTGGAAAAAGCTGTGGCTAATCAACTGACAGCGGTTTGAGAGAATTTGGAGATATATGACAAATTTCAGTCAGGCTATAGGAAGAGAAATTCTACTGAGACCCTGGTGAGAGTCCATAATGACATTCAGATGGCCTCAGACGTAGGTCTATGCTCATTGTTAGTAATTTTAGACCTCAGTTCTGCCTTCGATACAGTCGACTACCATATCATGATTAAGCGATTACATGAATGGGTGGGTATATCAGGTGTGGCCTTGGACTGGTTTGCGTCCTATCTTTCAGATAGAACTTTTGATGTCTTTATTGGGGAAAGTCATTCTGCATCATCGCCCCTGTTTTGTGGAGTTCCGCAGGGTTCAGTGTTGGGCCCAATATTATTCATATATATGTTGCCTCTAGGTGAGGTTATTTGCAATTTTAACATTTCTTACCATTTTTATGCAGATGACATACAGCTCCATTTCACTTTTAGGCAAAATAAAAACACACAAACTTACTAGGCTCCAAGATTGCATAGTTGCCATAAACAACTGGATGGCTGAAAGCTTTTTGCAGTTGAACCCAGAAGAGAGGCTTTAATCATAGCGCCAGACAGTGCTATTCCTCTGATCAAGCAGAACATTGGGCCTTTGTCATCTGCAGTCCGGCCCAGTCTAAGGAACCTTGGGGTGACATTTGCCAAATCCCTATATTTTGAAACCCACATCAAATCAGTGACCAAATCCTGTTTTTTTCACTTACGCAATATAAGCAAATTAAGGGCTGTGGTCTCTCAGCCAGAGCTAGAGATGCTCATTCATGCCTTCATTTCCTCCCGTATTGATTATTGTAATTCACTTTTCTCCTCACTCAATAAATCTGTCCTTCACCGCCTCCAATCCATTAAAAATGTGGCTGCTAGGCTTCTTACTAGATCAAACCATATCCCTCTGCTTTGCTCTGTTCAATGGCTTCTTGTAACCTACAGGATCCAATTCAAAATTCTCACCATGACCTATAGGGCTCTACATGGTCAGGCCCCTGACTATCTTGCCAACATAATTCACTTACATACACCATCCCGGTCTCTCAGGTCTGTCAATCAAAATCTGCTATCCATGCCACGCACGCATCTGAAGACATGTGGGGATAGAGCCTTTGAAGCTATGGCACCCAGACTCTGCAATGCTCTACCAATCAGCATTAGGTTTGCGGAGAATGTGGACTGTTTTAAGGGACAAGTGAAGACTAATTTGTTCAGGCTAGCTTTTGGGTAGCCTACGTCTTTTTCTCTTTTGATAATTTGTATTTTATATTGACTGTTTCATGCACATTGTAAAGCACTTTGTGACCTTGTCTGTGAAAAGCGCTGTACAAATACATTTTACTTACTTACTTCCTTTTTCATTTTTCATTTAATTTTCCTGTGCTGAAGTGAGGGCTTCAGGACAGAGGATGTTGCATGTGTACAGACTGTAAAGCCCTCTGCAATTTGTGATTTTGGGCTATACAAAATGAATTGAAATATACAAAAATGTACGAGGATGCACAACATGAACTGCTGACATATCTAGTTGTATGAATGAGTGTGTGTTGGAGAACATACTTTGTCTGCACGTGTTGGTCGAGCAGCTGCCTCTGCAGCCGGCCGCTCGTCTCCCTCTCCTCGGCTAGCTCCCTCTGGGTGTGCCGGTACTGCACCTCCTTCCGGCTCGCCTCCTCCTCCGCCTCATTCACCTGACGCTTCAATGAGCGCATCCTCTGGGTCATCTGGGAGAAACCGATAACCGAGCCACACTTAAGGTTGGACAGACGGACAGAACTAGACAAACAGGTTCTCAGTGACGACTTAGACATGAAAACACCTCAACATTGTTAATGTGTACAATGTAGTGTAAAGACATTATGGAATAACAAAAGAATATTGTCGGCATAGTTAAGCACACCTCTATATATATATGTGTATAAACAGTGTATGAACAGTGAATACTATTTGACGCTATTTAGATTGGTGATTGAGTAGCTACAAAAGCCTAGCCAATAGATCCGACAAATTGTTATGGTTAGTCTACCATCATTTTTATCCTTTCGTTGCAATTAAATCACAAATTTATTTAGCATGTTGTGTACATACAACTGTTGCTTGCTAGATGTATTCAGTACAGCTCTGTGAAAATCCCCGAGACATGAGTCAGGCATACAGCTTTAGTTTGCCGACGTCTCTGGGACTTGCACATGCACATCTTGATAACGGCCTTGTGTCTGCCATAACTCCCTTAATCCCTCCCCCATTCTTCCACTGTCACTATCAGAAGGGTCCGTCCTCTGCTATAAGGCCCTACCCTTTCCGTAAGAACTTAATGTCGTTGTGTTTTCCTATTTGCCGTTGTGTTTTGCACTTCAGGGCCACCGTACAAACATGTTGGTACAGGAACTGACCAGACTGTTCTGCAAGACTGCATTGATGTTGGCAGAGTGCATGTGTGCATTACCAGGTCTTTCTGCTCAGTTGCTATCCTGTGTTCTTCTTCCATCTGATCGCTCAGCTCGTTTATCCTCCTCTCCAGTTTACCGATTGTGTTGGTCAGAACCGACTTGTTCCTGCACAAAACACAAACACATTTGCGCGTCAGCCAGTCAGCTGCTGTGGCTACATCCTGTTTGTGTCTCAGCTGACCGCTTTCCAGTTAGCACCTCATTTGAGCAACTTTGGAAACTCGCTTGAGGAGGCAAATCCGTCACATAAATTTATAAACCCGGACCTGAATGTTGTTTGCAGCCCCCTTCTTCAGGATCAAATCAACTGAGCTGCAGGTAAAGAAGGAACCTTAAATATAGACATAAGCCAGAGGAACAGGTTTTTCAGAAAGATTATTGAGCCTAGACGTTTTATGCCTCCGTGAAGTAATGAATGTCCGTCCACAATGTCATCACGTATGATCCTATTAGACATTTGTGTGGAATTGTAATATTTGGCATATCAGTTCTTGAGTTTTCTTCAGGTCATCCAAAATTTGAGCAAACTCTCTTAAAGCAATCCTGAGATATCTCAAGAACTGACCGGACGGATGGAAGGTCACGGTGACCTTGACTTTAGATGCTCCAATGTTTGATCAGTTAATCCATTGGCCAAGAGGTTGATTGTGACGCAAAGCAATTTCCTTGAAGTCTTCCTGAGATGTCACGCTTGAAGGAATGGTATGAACACACAGACAAAAGGCCATCTGATACGCTCAATGGTCAGAAAGCAGGTCATGTGACTTACCTCTCCTCAGTCCTCAGAGTGTTCTCCAGCTCTTTAACCCTGCTCTCCGCCCTGGAAACGACATCCTCCTGAACTCTGGAGCTTTGTAGCTCCTCCACCTCCATACGTAGCTCACGCAGCTGCAGACAGAAAAATAAAGAGAGAGTAAATTATAAGTTATATGGAATTAGCTATTGGACACAGTGTTTTTTTAAATGCAAAGGCTGGCCTTTTCATTTCCTGAATAAACACAATATTTGTACAGTATGCTTGTTCGTTTTTATGTAAACCACTGTAGAACTGCTTTTGTATAGAATGGTGGTGGTGGTGGTATACTGTATATACATATACTGTATATATTTGAAACATCTAAACACCGATTTACTTTTGTTCCTGTTTTGCTTGGTTGCTTGATTATTTGCATACTTATAATTCTTAAAACCCTTTTCTTGAATCAAAGTTAATTTGCACATTAGCTTGTATATCTGGATAGATGTCGGCCAAGAAATCACCAAAGACTAAAGACATTTTTACAATAATAAGAAGGATTTCTGTATTTGAAGGAATACATTGTGCTAAAAAGAGGAAATAATGTCAGTCAATACAGTTTTTGTTTTCATTTTCTAAAAGCTCTATCAGTACCTCAGTCTATTATATCAGAGAGATGGAAAGGCGATAAAGGGTCTAACTGTGTTAAAAACACACACACTGTACCTGTCTCTCCATGGCAACTTTGTCAGCCTCCAGCTGGTCATTCAGATCCTTTTCCTGGATCACCTTCAACTGGAGTTGCTCAATCTGACAGCAGAACACACAGGTATATGTCTTAGTAACCAGCCCAACAAAGTCAGCCAGTTACGGGTGTGTACTGTTTTCTCTCTCTCTCTCTCTCTCTCTCTCTAGGTAGCTCTGTATCCTGCCTGGAACTACTAGCTGAAACCCCTTAGTGAGCGGAGCTAGAAGCAATCGGCTGATTGGTGCCAGGGTGGATAAAAGGCTGGGGGAAGCCAGGCCGACTGGGGGCTTGGATTTGAATGCATGTACCTTGCGGTGCTTGTGTGAGCGCGTGCACACACCAATGTGCTGGCAGGTTATCATTGTGGCATTTTTCTACTGTTGGACAGTAAGTTTTGAGTTTGTACATGATATGGACGTTTTGATGTATTGTCAAATAAATCTCTTTTGTTTAAAAATTCCTTCTCTTATAGTCTATTTTCATTTGTTACTCTCCTCTAGAAATTGCTCAAGGAACGTTACACAGCAAAAATGGGTGTCAAGTCCACAAATGGTTTAGTTAGCTCACTTCCTGTTCCCAGTGTGTTTACCTGCTCAATAGCTCTCTTGTGTTTGCTGGCCCATCTCAGCTCGCTGTCATGTAGCTCCTCCAGGTCACTCTCCAGGTCAATCATCTTCTCCTGAAAGTTTCCAAAAATAATAACGCATTTTCAGGCAGCTTGTGGTCAAGTGTCGGCTGTCTTTTCAGCACCACGGTTCCATGTTGTTCAGTAACGCCACCAATTTAAGTATCTTCATTAATAGAAAAACAATGATTATTAAGGATTATGGCATTAGCACGCTGAACAACATTTGCATAATGAATGCCTTATTAACTCAAAACTCGGTTATGACGGTTGGCATAACTGATTAATCCTAGTGAACATCTCTGTTTGAATCATTGGGTCATGTATTTAAACTACAGCCAGCATAAGGAAGAAGCATTGAGGGAAAGATATATGTGCTATTTTTAAAGTATGCTTGGCAGTCTGACGTCTCGTACAAGTTGATACAAATATATTGAAAAGTCTTTGGATTTTATGTTTATTCTCATTGTCATACAATCACATCAAGAGACACAAACCAACAATGAATATGTCCACTAACACAGTGGTTCTTAACTGTTTTGGCTGCTGGACCCACCATCGGAACTTAAAGACAAGCTGTGACCACCATTTTCCTACGTTGTTCACCTCCAGAACAACAGGTGGAGTAACGTGTTTTGTTGAAGACGACCTGGAGAGTCACGTCTTTGTGTGTGGAAGTCGTTGGTTGCTTTATTTATTGATCATAGACTTTATTGCCCCGTGCATCCACACTGCTGCTTTTCATCAAGGACACATTTGCCCCGTATTTTCCTCCATGACTTTGTTCCCCTCTCGAGGGCAAACCAACGTTTGCGGCGATCTCCCTCCATGAATCCAACCCGCTTCTACAACCCGCCAATGACGGCTTGTATAAGCGCTCATATTTACGCATTTCTTCAGACAAAAGTTCTTCAATCTGATCCGTTCTCTGGTAAACATTCTTCCTTTCAATAACGGCCGTATTGTGCCGTGAAAACGGAAACGTGAGACTCCTTAAAGGACGTAGTTAGCGGACCAATCACAGCCTTGTGCGCTGCAGGAGGCTGCGTCTAGAAGCCTAGAAAAATGGCTCAACACACGCAAGCACGCAAGGAGGTGTGAAAAGACACGCAAGGGACACGCAAGGGGGTCTTGCGTCTGCGTCGCTCTGAAAACGAAGAAGCATAAACTAGGCTTGAGCTGCTGTGACCCCCCCTCCTCCCCTCCTTCCCAAAGCACGCACAGTTGACCCAATCGTTGTGCAGCAGTCCCTATCAGCTGCAGTCTGAGCAGACAAACCCCTCCGTCCAGACTGGAAATGATTAGCGCATGCCCAGAACCGTGACCCAGACCCGTGACCCACAAGTATTGGACGTGCATTTTGTCTGAAGTAAATGTATGTTCCGCAAAAGGGTCCAAAACTATTAACTCATCAATCGTGCTGTGGGACATGTTGTTTACTTACTATAAACACATGCCAGACTTTATTTTGACCCACATTCAGTGTACTGCTGCTCTAAATGCCTGCTAGAGCCCTCAATGTGTATTAATCCGGATATGAAAATAGTCTGCATCAAATGGACCATTTCAGGCCTATTTCAATCCCTTTTGCTTCAAGTGCTCATCTGTGAAATTGGCAAGACTTTGGTCTTTAGCAGGAACCAATGGGCTGGCAGCCACAAGGGGGGGAAGTCAAAAAGCAGGGACAACCCCAAGTTGCCGGTTTTGGTCTTTTCATGGAAATCAATGGTGATTGACTTTTTCTAAGCCCCCCCACCCCCCACAGAATGATTAGGCTAATGTTCCCCGATCCACTGTGGATATGTTTTATGCGTCCTGTGACTTGGGCAGACTTTGACTCTCATAAAAACCCATATGAAATAAAAATGAAAATCTAAAAAATTCCCTATTGTAAAATAGATTTTAAATGTGATTCCAATGAAAATAATTTAGACCGTTAAAAATGTAATAATAATTGAATAATTGTCTAATCAGTCATTTGTCCAATCAGTCACTGGCCTCGCCATTGAGACTGCAAAGCATATCAATACCTGAGCCAGTTTCACTTGTTTGGCCAGCTCCTCTCTGGCCTGGTTTGTATTCTGCAGCTCCATCTTGAGGTCATCAACCGTCCTCTCTGCTTGCTTACACTGAAGCTGTATCTTCTCTCTCAACTGAATCTCCTCCTCCAGCGTTTGCTCCTTATCGATCAGCTTACCAGAGACCTACCCACACACATAGAATACGTGAATTGACTTTTAAGCTGCCGGTGTGACCTGGTGACTTTTATTGGTTTAGAACGGGGCACACCTCTCCATGCAGTCTGCCGACGACCGTCTGCAGTCTCTGCAGCTCCTGATCCTTCTCCAACATGGATTCCTCCAGCTCCTCCACCCTCCGCTCACTGTCCTCACGGAGCTTCTGCTGCAGGTTCAGCTGGGCCATAGCCTGCGTGGACACCAGCAGGGCCTCACCCAGCTGGAAGCACACACAAGAACTTACAGTTAGCATGTACGTGCACACATCTCCTTCAAATATGTTTCAACTTGATCAAGGCTCATGGCCTTGATCAACCTCTTGTTTCTTTTGGGGTTCTGATTACACTATTCTATCCCGCTGCTCATGATGTCTAATAAAGTGTTATTGGTATTAGTTTTTATAAATGAATAAACATGCACACTTTCAATTTTGTTTACTAAAATAGCTTTACAGGTTCATCTTTATTTATTAACATGAATTAAACAGATGAACTCAACTGTAGGTTTGCATCCCTTTTAAAAACGGTAATGCAAAGTTATTTTTTCCTGACATGACAATTTGGGGCATTTCCATATGTAAACGGCAGCATTTAGTCTGTAATGAAAAAGAAATCTTAAGGTTGATTCTGTGTTTTTGTGCAATTCTAGGAATCACACAGTACGTAGGAAGTTAGGTAGAGAGGAACATAATAAAAATAGGTCATTCCAGTAAATTGCGAGAGTAACCGAAGTAGTCTTTTAGTAAGAGGACTGCAAGTCTCCTCCCCACCCCCCGTCTGAATATTCACAAAGTCTCTGTACCTCTGACTCCAACCTGAGGATGGTGCAGTTGAGTTCCGAGGCCTTTTTGTCTCTGCTGTCTTTGTGGACCTCCAGCTCTTCCAGCTGTCTCTCTGCCTGCCACAACTTCTCAGACAAGGTCTGGGCGTGCTGCGTCTGCTTCTCCAGGTTCTCCTGAGCACAACACACACACACACACACACACACACACACACACACACACACACACACACACACACACACACACATACATTTCAGACATCTGCCTGCCAACACAATGTGTGTGTCTTAATGTGGGACAGGCAACTCTCACGTTTGTCTGCCATTGTTTTGCCAAGCTGAAGACAGAACTGTATTTCTTAAGCTGGATTGATTTGGAGATCAACACAATGGTTTGAACTTTTGGTGCGTTTTCCCTTGAATGTCCAGCAACACCAGCATGCAGTGCACCTGTGCGAGCCCCTGCAATGGCTATGGTCATAAAGGTCCTTAGTTGGGTACAGAGATTTGTGATTTGGGTTTAATAACTACTACTGCTAAAATAACCCTGTCCACCCAGACTTTGTCCTGATGCACATTTCCTCACTCTTTACCACTCTTACACAATGTTGTGCTGGATCAGGATCAAGTGAAATCCACACAAATCAATTATGTGGGTGACAGTTTTGTTGTTGTTTGACAGTAGAGAAAGAGCGGAGCCGCGTAAGAAGTTCGTTTTTTTAAGATGTCAGAAGCTTTTGTGTACCTCAGCGTCTTTGATCTGGTTTTGGAGGGACTGTTGGAGAAAGCCAAAGGCGTACTCCTGGTTGTTAGCCTCCACCCTGATATCCCGGGCCTGCTTCACCTCAATCTGCACAGCTCAAAAAAAGAGTCAGTAACAAAAGAAACAATCGGATACCTTCAGTATAATTTGCATCCATTCTCCCACCTCCATATCCTTGTAACTCTCGACCACGGATTTGTTCTCCCTCTGCATCTCTATCATCTGCTCTCTCATCCTCTTCATCTCACTGTTCAGCTGAGCATTGACCCTCAGCAAGTCCTCATTGTTCACCAACAGGCCGCGCATCTCAAACCTGCACAGGAGGATGGTCATCAGACAGAGCTCACAGAGGGGAGGGAAGCAACGGAACCGCTTGCTGAGAATCCCTTTCACATCACAGCAAGGCAGTATAAGTGGACTGAGGTGGGGGGGGGATCAGTCCATTCTGACATCCCTTGGGGGTTTGGTTAAATGGAGCGGAAAGACCTTCAAATTCCAGCAAGTGAAAAGCCTGTTGAACAATGCAGCTTGTGTTATGCGTCCGCAGCTTCTGTATCACTGTAAAGTGAATCTAAATATATAAAGCGGTGTACGGTTACAAGAAAGTCACATCCTTTGCATTCAATTGGACTGCTAAAAAATGGGTGGGCCAAGAGAGTAGATTTTGATTGTTGGAGGAAAGATGGCTGCCTTTTGAAGAGTGACTCCAGCTTCATAGAAATTCTTCAAGCTGTAGCTCAGCTGAAAAGCATTACTTCAGCAACCAGTTTTCCAATCTATCATGCATAACGCACTCACCATTGATGTCAGTGCACTGAAAAAAAGGCGAAGAAAAGTAGGCGAAAGAGCAACAAGTAAGAAAACCGCAACCATTAGGACGAAAAAATAACATGTCTGACCTTATCTGGCTCCTCTCCTTCTCCATCTCCACACTCTCTGCCTCGAGGAACTGGTTACGCTGGAGAGATCACACACTTCAAAATAGGTTCCTAGTGGTGGTAACGAATCTCCTTAGAGAAGAAGGAAACGCGTATCCCAAAATGAATCAGGGGATGCCTACCTTCTGGCAGGCATCCATCTGTTTAGTCAACTCTTCTATGAAATTTTTTTTATTTGGCGCTCCCAGGGTGTTAGAGCGCATACTGTAGTGGGTGGTGGGTGCCACCTGTAGCAACGAAAAACAGATGTTGAAATATGGGAAAAGACATTATCTGTCGCCGGTGATAGAGAGTGTTATTTCTGCGTGTGTGTCTTTTGAGTAGATGTACAGTGTTGTTGACCTCGACCCTCCTCTTCACCAGAGTGTCGTAGGCGGAGTAACGGGGTCGGGCGGAGTTGAGGGGGGACGTTCCCACTGGACTGATGCTCCGACCGTTGAAGCTGTACATGTTCATCTCTGAGTTGGCAGGAGACAGTCTACCAGGAACCTGGAGATGGGACAGAAAGAAAAAATGTTTAAAAAATTAAAATAGAAAACATGAAAAGATTATCCTGAAAAAAAACACAACTGTTCTTTTCGCAACAAACCTTGAACTCAGACATTCGGTTCATGTGGTTGTGATCTATGGAGGACGCGTTGGCGTACGGACTGTTGAAGAACTTGGAGGGCTGTAAACAAACAAACAAGACTGTGATGTATACCAATCAACAAAGTAGAGTCAAAGCAACCGCCAAAGGGCAGACACAGGGTCAATTGAGTGCAGGCCAGTTCCAGTTATCAATCCGTTTTGATATTAGTTTATTATTAACACTAAATAACTAGAAGAAAAGACGTTGATAAAAACTGATGGGTTAGTAAGTAAGGTATTCTATATTACAATTTCCATTAAAAAAATAAAAACGTAAAATGTTATGATCTAATACATCTGAACCTATGATGACAAGACATGTTAAGTTTAACAGCTGAGCTCTTTCACACATAGATTAGTACAAAAACAGGAAATAATGATAAATGTCCATTATTTGAAGGAGATGATATTATTAATCACAAGTAATTTTACGTGCATGACATAAATACTACTCGGTTTCATTTATTAGGGCCTGGGCCGACAGAAAGTCAGCCGAAGGCCCTAATAATTATGATTATTAGAAAGAATTCATATTTTTTCACCACTTCAATCACACTTTTGAGGCCTATTTTTGGGAGTCGCGCCTTTGGGTATGAAAAAATGTCTTTCTAGCGCCCCCTGGAAGTGCTCCCTCTGCTGAGGTTTCACCTAGTTTCAACGGTTGACTTGACAAAAAGTAAATCATGGTATGCAAATGCACCTAACTAGATTTTCTGCCATTTTCAATTTAGTGAAAAACACGTTTTTGCACACCCCTTCCAAACGCTCAGTCTGATTTTCACAAAATGTTTAGGTAATCATTATTGGGTCAATGGCTTTAAACGCTAAGTAACGTATTTTGCGATCTCATTTTGTTTAGAAGTTCTGGACCAATGAAATTTGTGAGGGGTGTGGCCTAATTAAACTTAAACTTAACTTAAGAGGTATTTGGCTTGTGCTCACCAAATCTTTAAGATGTGTTGACATTGAGTCCCTAAACATACCCTATTATTTTCAGAATATTTGAACTTTAGGGGGTGCTGTAGTCATTTGCTGAGATTTTGCTTGTTTTTTCCAATTTCAATCGGATTTGGGATTTACAAACAAACGAACAAACTCCTCCGAGAGTTTAAACACGATCAATTCCAAATTGGGCAAGTTGATCCTGACACCTGTGTGGTCAAACGCCAAAATCAAGATATATATATGGTACGGGTAGATGAAATCCAGCATTCTGATTGGTTGGGTCATGGGGTGTACTTTGTTGAGCCATAATGTACTGTACCTGTTTACATCGCGCACTGATATGGAACACAGGTCCATCAAAAAAACAGTAGCTTAAATTAATAAATACAGTTAGTTTTGTAAAAATGTATTTTTTCTTGTTCATTTTGTGTGCATTTAGTGTGTTCTTGGAGACACAAAGCTTGACCAGTGTTGAATTCGTTACATTACAATTAGGCCAAATAAAAATTAGGTAGATCATGCCTGCCACCAAGGCGGAGGATGGTGATCTTGGGCTTAAAAAGCTTGGTGACCTCTGGACTAAAGTCTCTCTGGAAATGTCTCTGATCAGCAATGTCCGTAGTCTGGTGTTTGGTTAGTGTCTGGGGGTCCTGGGTTAAAATCTGTCCGTCGGGCAGCCTCCCTGACATGCAAGGGGAGCCAAAGGCCCATTCATCGCCGCTTTCTCAACCTTGACTTTATTAGACATTAAAATGTTTTAGAAACTCCTCAATTCATAGAATCTAAAAATCTTCAGGTCCACCAAAAAATTACCTTAAATTCTATGTTTTGTCCAACAGATGGTGCTGTTCAATAACAGAAAAGGACGCATGCATTACACTAAGGTTGCATAATGGAAATTAAAGGAATCACATTTTTATATATTTCGGCCTTCACTTAAATACAGTATTTGTGAAGAATGCTCTTTTTTTGTGGAGATTCAAATAAGAGAGTTCTTTGATCTCTAATTAAACTAAAAAAGACTAAACAATAGAGAAAAATCGAGGCATTAACTAAGTTTGTCATAACCACATTAAACTTTGGCCTTTTCTTTCTCCTCCAGTGCGATCAAAGATCAACTTCTTTCTCAACTTTTCTTGCTTTTTGAAACTTACAGAACATTACGTTCGGAACTAGAATGATGGAAAGTTACACGTTTACATTTGATTGCACGTGCAGATTGTTGTTTTTAAGGAAATTAGACTTCTAACTTTCCATATTGGTAATTAAATGGAGATTATTGATTATTGCTGTGTATGAGCAATAAAGAGACTGTAAAACTGTGCTTCGTCCAGGAGATGGCGATGTCTAATAACGAATTCTGTGTTTCAGCAATCAAAGCTATGATGGACATGTCAGTCCCCAGGTCGGATCCTCTACCCTGTCAGATGTATTGTCCCAGTCCCGCGAGGCCAGGGACTCCAGGGACCCTCGGAAGTGGTTCCCTCCCAGCCGGTTGGTCTCCCATCGGGCCGGCTTGGAGCCGTTCTCCCCCAACATCCCACCGCCTCCTGGACCATCTGCATCACCGCCACTCAACCCGTTGGTCTTGTGATCATTGTTGAGAAAAAGCTGATATTTGGGGTTCTGGATGGCCGGGATGACTCGGGGTGTGGTGGGCTCCTCCTCCGATGTGCTCTCCGACTGCTTGTTTGAATCCAATTCAGACTCCTGGAGGACGGGTGACCGGAGGAAAGGGATGAAATAGATCCATTAATATATAATCTATTAAACCTTCTTTTAGCTGCTAAGCCAGTCGCTAACTTTGTCGGTCTGCTGTTGGTTTATCAATGTGTTAAGCACCAGTGAGGGGACCTTTCCTTACTATAGACCTGATTCATAGATCTACCTTAACTCGAAAATACGATTAGAAATGCATCTTGACTTTAATACAAAGTTCTCGGTACTCAATTTGGCCTTTTGACTTTGACTTTTATTCGGGAATATTTTGTAACTTTGAAACCAATTACTTTGTTCCTTCTTTGCACATACTCTAGATAATATGCCACAATAAACAAAATCAATATAATTTATCACAGTAAATGATCATGCATAAAAGTGTCCTGCTCAGTATATCCCGATTACTGCAATCATGCTGTAAAAAAATAACCGTGTAGGTTGTAGACATTATTATTCAACCAAAGACAACAAATGGCAACATGCTGATTTACAGGAAAATAATCAGAGAAGTGAGAGATGAGGAAGTGAGGCCTTTTGGTTGGTACAATTGGAGAAGGCTTTATAATCTCACCACGATTTCATGCTTTCAGGGCGTCGTGCGGATGGAACATGCCGCATTCATCATGCAAGAAGACGCATTGAAAAAACCTGCAGGGCCATGCCGTCAAGCCGCCCTCACGCGCTGAAGACGCTTAATGTTTCATGCTAGGTCATCGATCAGGACTTTGCTTACCAATCCCACGCCAGAGTCTTTCCCGGACTCTGTGGTTTGGGCTTTGCTCCTTGGTTCTGAATCAGTGTTCTCAACGCTACCGCCTACTGGACAGTCTATTCTCGCAACTATCTTACTAGTATCGGGGCTTCTCTGAGCCGACCGAGACAAGTTTAGGGTTTTGCGGAATAGGGGGGTCACGGTGATGCTCGGAAGCACACCCTGGTCTCGCCCGACGCTGTCCAGCGCGAAGTCCGAAGCACTCAACGTTGACCTCGGAGACCCTAGAGCCTCTCCGGGAGTGAACTTTGGTACTTGAGCTGTTCCAGACGAGGGGTTCTGTAGGGGACCGGAGGATGAGACATGATCTGGACCAGAGAATTTACTGATCAGGTCTTTGACACTGCTGGCTCGGTGCAAGTTGGACTTCTGGGACAGGCCTGTGGCGGGTTTCTTATGACTGGCCCTGAAGGCCTGCACGGTCTCTTCTTTGTTGGTGGTCTGGTGAGGACTAAGTGGCGAGTGTGGGGAAGAAGACCCGGGTGCATGCTGAAAGGAGTGAACACAACAACAAAGACCCCAACACCGCTGTTAGCAAGGAGTCAGACACATAACAGGTTAGTAGTGGGGGATTTAACAGGCAGTATGAGTCGAATACACAGTTATGATCTCTGTGTGCTTCAGATAATTGTGGGCAAAACTGCTGAGTGTTGATGGAGCAGCTAAACCGGTCTAAATATAAATCTCACTGACCGATCCAAACTCAGAAAACAAGCATTTTAAATGCTGTTTCATCATCTTTTTTTTCTTTTTTACAAATGAGCATTATGTAATACGGCATCCCATATGGAAAAATGTCTTGGAGTCATACTGCTGTTGTAAACATATTTCAGCGGACATTGTGTTATGAACCAAAATACAGAAATGTCTGGTTTTCCTATTAAAACCATATGTACAAAGCAGAAATAGTTATGTTGGACAAGTTCTATGAAATTAAATTAGTAAACACAAATGATACCGCTTCACATTTGGTGTTAGCGCACCATGAGATCCACAAGGTTGCTTTCAGACATCACAGTCTTAAACCTCAAAAGCTGTGAGTTCACCCAAACAACGCAATCAGAATTAAAAAGACATCATTGCATCACTTGGATTGGAGTTCTTGAAAGCAGCACGTCAACATGTTAGCCTCGTCCTGTCTTTACGATGTTTTTGAGCATGCACAATGACGTGTAGCCCAGTGTGCATGTGTGTGTGTGTCCTGCTATCCTCACAGAAATCTCTCTTGAGGAAGTGTAACATCTGCTTGTTCAGCTGAAAAATCCCCACCATCCCCCAAAAACACAGCGTCCCACTTTTCTCAAGCAAAAATGAAATGACACAGAAATATAGAAAGGCACATGTCAGTCAACTTGCACACACACGCAAACACACACAAAAGAGGGTAAAAAAACTAAAAATCCTCTTTTTTTGCCAAAAAAGCCACTTCATTAAGTCCAACTTGAATTAACATTACAACAAGAGGCCGATGCCACTTAGAGAAATTAAGTGGCGAGCATCCAGGAGTTTAACTTTCGGGGCTCAAAGAGTCCAAAGCATTGACTGGCCTTAATCCAGTGTCTCGCTTGGCCGCCTCCCCCGGGGCCGGCGAGCAGAGGCTGGGAGAGGAGCCGGGGCCTGGGAGGACTGAGGGCTGGGGTTTAGGAATTCCTGCTAATCACCACGGTATTAAAATGTTTACAGGCCACAGTGGGATTAGCTAAGAGCGGGTGACGTTTATTGTTATTATTTCTCAGTTTGAACTCTCTGAGCCTTATGGAACGAGGAGACGCTAATGAAAAGTGGTTGTGATGTATTACTGTGGCTAAAAAGAACATTAATTATTAGTTTATATTTGTGTTAATATTTTGAACTTGTTTTATTTTTCAGGCAATATTTCCCCTATTACTATATTCTTCTTTTATTTTTGATTGTACCTGTGTGCTGGATATGATGGCAAAACACATGACTCTTGCTTACGTTGAAAAAATATTACAATAGTTAATTATTAGTTAATATACTATACATTAATAATTAAATATGATGAAATATTTCACAATATCTTGTATTATGAATGCCTAAATCTAAGTGGTATTTCTGACGCTACAATGATTTATATATAAATATATATGAAATAAAGATAATAGCAGAGAGGCCTTTCAAAATAAAATATTTAGACACTTTCAGACATCTGATGGTTTCAACAATTTGTTCTGTTAAGTTGTTTTTTAAACAACTGTATTTTTTCTTTGTTTGTTCTTAACCTTTAAAACCTGCAAATAAAATTAGAATAACAGGAGAAAGGGACGTTTTTTTAAGTTAAGGAGAAACCAATTGGTAAAAAAATCTGCCAGAGAGACGTGCAGACGCCCTTCATTCAGCGAAACCAGGGTCGTATTCTACCCAAGTAATGTCAACACACACTCAAACACACATAAGTCCTCAATTCCCTGTGGTTACTATAGTACAGACATATGGCGTCGAGCTGCGGACCATCTGACCCAGATATGTGACAGCAGTGCATGCTTGGGAACGGCAGTGAATGCCTCTGATGTTATGGTGCACAAGCGCTTATCCCAGAATAAAAAGCTTGACACGATAACATTTCTCTTAATTCGGACGGGTTTCTGTTTATTTTACCTAACATGGTGATGTGTTTCTGCCATTTCTGCAGTAAGCAGATACAGAAGGCCTTCATTTTCCTTTTCAATGTTCATGTTCTGGCACACACACAATTCATTGAAAAGCAACGTAGCCTAATTTTACTAGAGTTACCTGAAGAACTAAAAATATTGTATTGAACATTTCCCATAATGTAACTCAACATTGTTTTTTAGTCAGACCATCTCTGTCTGGTGAACATCCGCTCCATTTGATGGACTGTTTGGACCAAACCTGCCATTTCACCATCTCTGCCTGTGGGATGATTATGCTTCGAGCTTCCTTTTTCCGGGTTTCTTTTGGATTTTATACTTTCTAGAAAGCTAGGAATTATTTCTTCAACAAGTTTAACCCAGTTCCAAAAAGACACAAAGGTGTTTTGTTTCTATTTCCTTGGATTGCATTCCAGCTTATTGTTGTTTCTGGTGTTGTTCTGGTGATGTCTGGCTCTTCTTTGGCTTCCTTGTGTTGTTTTCCAGCATCTAGTGTTTTTCAGAATTTGTATGTTAGGTTATTGTTTCCTTTAGTACTGTTTTGCCTTTTCTGGGTTGCTTTCTGGCTTTTGGGGTTGTTGTCTGTTCAGAGTAATTTCTTCATTTTCAAGGGCTAGGTCTGTTTCTTTTGCGCGTTTTCCAGTTTGTCTTAAAATAATTATTTTCACATTATCATTACCATTTTTACATGTGCCAGTGTGTGTGTGTGTGTGTGTGTGTGTCTGACTCTACTCAATGTCCTCAATTCAAACTGTTATTCAAGACTCTCACATTTTTCTTCTCACTTCTTCACAATGTCCTCACACAAAAACCTCTGTCAGTCTTGTCAGGTCTGTGAGACACACAGTTGCACACAAACTCTACACATACAAAGGCAAGAGAGAGACGGAGGTACTAACAATATGATAATAACCTCTGTAGTCTTTAAGTCTTTGGAACGGCTCAACGCTAAAGACAGTGGAGATGATTGTGGATTTCAGGAAGAACAGAGTCCCACCCTCCCCCGTCACCACTGTGGATTCCTTCCGTTTCCTGGGCTCTATCATCACTTTCTGTTCGCTGGTGCACTTTATTTTATAACTTTTTAAAACTTTTTATTTTTAACTTGGATTTTTAATTTAAATCCCTCCTGCACTATGTTGTCCATTGTCTTACTGTCTGATGGTATGCACCAACCACCGAGTCAAATTCCTTGTATGTCTAACATATTTTGGGTAAATGTTCCTGATTCCTGATAAAAAATGTAATGAATTAAGCAGTTAGCGGCAGTGGTGTTGAGTTTGACAGCCGAATGTCCAGCTCCAATTGGCCCACAGCAATTTATCAATTAACACGTCGACAGCAAATGAATAACCAAATATTTGAATGATTGACTATTTGAATCACTACGGCTTGCGATGGGATTCATTTATCTATTTTTATAGTGTGTGCATGCTCAGAATACAAATGTTGAGTCACGTTGCTTAAATAACAGTGTTTTGGAACCAAGGAAATGTGTTGACGATCCAAATCAAGATCTCTTAAATCCAACCAGTATAAAAGTACAGTATAACAGACTTCAAACTAATTATTTCATAAATATCAAGCAGAAGAAATACAGAAAAACAGTGTGTTGACCTTTTCATGCACTTAAGAACATAATCGAGCATCCTGCGCTACATTTTCTTTCTCTTTTTAATCTCTATACAATAGAGCCCGACTGGAATGTTATGAAACAAAAAGCTGAGCACCACTCATCAGAGACGGATCTTAACAAAACATATTTTCATGTGCATGAAGCTGCAGAGGCGTATTTCCACCCCAAATGTCCTTATGTGAGGACTAATGGCACTTGTGTCCAACCTTTAAAGAACATGTTCCCTTTGTTGTGGGAGTTCTGGAGAGATTTATTGTCTTTCCATAATTACTAAGGGTGTTTTTCTGTGTCTAAGCTCCTCTGACACATACAGAATCGCCTGGTCTGACACTGTAATTTCACATTCATAGTTCTTACTTCAACTCTTAATGATCTTTCGTTTTTCAAACTGAAACAAATACATGCAGCGCTCACATTACTGCACAATGGTTTAGGGTGTGTGCGGCATACTAAAGTCCACAGTCCAGGACGGAATAGTGAAACCAATTAAAAAACGCAAAGCTAGATCATTTAGATTTGATGTATAATAGATTAACAGATTAAGCTCATAATCTGATCCACAGGTTACGGAGCCTCTCTCTGACTCGTCTAGATTAACGAGCATGAGACTGAAAGTGTCAAGGGTCTGGCTGATATATTTCCATTTAAATCCAGTTTCTGAGTGACTCCATCTGTCAGAAATTATTTTTACACTACGAACTTATTTGTTTATTGAAGAAAAAATATATATATATATATATAATTTTTCATGAATATTGACCATTGTAATGTAAACCTTGTATACATAAATCAGAAACACTGGCTCACACCCAGCCGGTTACATAGCAGCTTGGTCAGTAGAGCTACACTTCAAGCTATGACAAGCTAGACACGTATGTGGCTCAGTTTAAAAAAAGCTAACCGAGCCTCCTCTATAGGTCCGAGATTAGATGTTTGCTGCTTCAGTGCAAATGGGTTCATTCTGGATGCAAGAGCGTTTGAGGACATTCCCCAGATGTGTTGATGGTTAACTGCGTTGAATGTGAACAAGCCAACTATAAACTAAATGTTTTCAAATTGTAGATAGGGATCGGGATGGGTCTGATTCATGTTGTATTTCTGTGCGAGAGACGTTGCAGCATGTTGGCAGTCGGCCTGTCTGCTGTTTGTGTTTAAGCTTCACAAGTTAAACTGTGGTGACACGTTGACAGGTTTCCTGTTATAATAAGATTCCAAACCAGGTTTCTTCTCTCACTATTCCCCGTCACGACTATGTCAGTCTATTATGGCTTTTTTGTGGTTGTTTTTTTTAAGGGAAATGATGCTCTGTGTGTGTGTGTGTGTGTGTGTGTGTGTGTGTGTGTGTGTGTGTGTGTGTGTGTGTGTGGCATTGGTCCAGCTGTTGTCAGTCTTTCTCAGACAGTCAGTTTGGAGATATAGGAAACATCTGCCTGCTCATCTGGCTCTGTCTGTCACACACACACACACACACACAGATGCAGATCTACACACACACACACACACACACACACACACACACACACACACACACACACACACACACACACACACACACACACACAGTGTTACTGTTCTACCTTAGGATTTTATCCTTTATGTTTTTTTTACATAGTTTTGAATGGTTATTTCATTAAATTAAACAATATGAGGAAAGACTGCCAGTATTTATTCACTTATTGTTAAATATAGTGCTGCCACAGTAGCAGACTAAGTAGTGGAGCACACAGCTGTCATCTCGGACTCACATCTCATTCACACCAAAAAGACATCTAACTTCATTGTGATGAGTGTAAACGTGGACACGTTGAGATGACCCCGGTTCCCGATGACTTTAGATCTCAGTAAGGCGTCGAAAGCATTGGGGCACAACCTCCCCTCCCAGCATGGGAAACCCTCTCTTGATGAGAACAAAGAAAAGAGAAGTGCCAAAAAAAACAGTGAAACGTGTAAATAGGGCCCCAGTTACCATTCAGTCCTCCACGGACAGCAATATTGTGAATATTAGCGGACATTGTTTCCATAATTCAGAAAGTAGTCAAACAACTAAAAACCTGACACATTATGAAGACAAACGTTAAATGGAACCCTCATGATTGGACAGGCCCAAGTCTCGGCCTCTGACATACAAATGGTCCAGATCGTGAGAAACTCCTGCTTCTGGCCTTAAGACAGATGTGGTACATATTTTACGTCACGTATACTGTCCCATATAAAGGATTTCTTTATACCATATTCGACTAAGGAGATCTGCCAAGAAAAAGGATGAGATATGGATTCAGATGCGGGTAAGAAAAGAATGGATACAATATTAATCCCTGAGATACTTTGGTGATTTAGACAAAAAGCAAATGAGAGCATTGAGTGCAGATTGGGACGCAATTGGATTGATCCTCGTACTATATGTTGATCCAAGGTGTATTCTGCTCGGCGCAGGAAGTACATCCACTGTGTTTGGAAGGTAAATGAACCCTGAACCCTGCAGAACGGTAGCCAAGCCAGGCTTAGGTGGGTAGTTAGTTGGGTTTGTTAGGCCCAGAAGTTAGGTGTTGTTTGAGCCCTTAACTGTGCCAAGAACGAGCATGCACAATGAAACCCGATTGAGTTGAGATGCCGAGTCGAAGCGTGCCACGTTGCTTACCTGCTCCATCTCGTTCTTTCCCTGCATGCTGCGGACACTCGGTCTGCTGCTGTGCGTTTCCTCTCTGAAGGAATAATATGAAAGGGCAATGTTTCAATAGTTTTCTAGTCCGAATCACCAATTGAATTTATGTTTTAACAGGTTGTGAAATTGTCTACCTGTGAGATTGTGCAAGTACTTTCTGCTTGAAACAGGTCAGGCTTTGCGTCTCTTCCTGGTGCAGGTCTTGAGTCAGCAGGTTACGTAGCGCGCTCAGTGCCTCCACCTAGAACAACAACGTCTCTGGTTGGAGCAGATGCTCGGTGACGGAGGCCTGGAGCTCCTACACAGCTGGAACTGGGGACAGGTGAGGGTCAGTTTCACATAAAACACAGCAATCTCATTGGTGCACTTTACACATAAAGAAAGCCAAGTTCAAATAATGTTATAACAATTTCAATATATGGTTGCTAATCAATGTTCTGATCCTAAAGTAAATGCTGTTGTTGAGATGATCATCTAATATGTGTGGGATGAATACATTCCACTGTTGTCTGTCTACTATGAAGTGATATGTAAAGTGTCAGGTAGCAGGAGGTGGATCTTTATGAACTGCATTCACATGCTGAATCTGTAGTCGCGCTCCGTTTGCAGTAGTGATGACTTGTCACCTTCCGGCAGGCTTCGGATGCATATAAACAGCCCGTGTGCGGCTGGCGAGTGGGGCCCGGGGTTGGTAGGAGATGTATAGAAAGAGTCACAGCAGGACTATCAGACTAGAAACTGTAATAATACAAGAAATACCATAAGTCTAGAATCAGTAGTAAAAAAGTAGTCACAGTGTGTTATTGGTAGTAATTGTAGAAGTATTATTGTTTGAAGCATTGCAATAGTATTAGTGCTTGCGTGTGTACAAGTAGTATTACTTGGTGGTGGTGATAGAGGACTGCAAGCACTAGTGTTACCATTATATCGGAGTAGTATAGTAGTACCAATAGTTGCAAATATGTTACGTAATACTTGTACGTCTGTGCAGCAGTGTAGAGTAGAAATATTACTAATTTTTAGGGGTGTAACGATTCATTCACTGAATCGATTTATATTCCTGCGATCCAACTGAATCGATCTGTGCTCCGCAAATCGTCATTCCGGACGACATATATCGATTACAATCGATTGAAATGGTACATAATCGATTGTATCGATACTTGGAAACTGCACATTGGATTTAAGCACAACAACGGCATGGATGTGTGTTCGTTTGTTTTTTAGCACTTTAGACACGTTAAACGTTACTGGATTCAGTCTGCCTGTCTGTGACGTCATCAGTACGCAGCGGCAGCCGCGTGAAACTCAACAAAACACAGCGTGGAGGAGACGACTGCGAGCGAGACATTTACAAACCAACTTATCGATCCAGTGGAAACGTTTTGGCTTCTGCAAACACGGAGGTGTTCTAAATAAGTCGCTCGCTGTTTGTAGAATATGTAGAAGACAAATAAAAACCACGGAAACACGAAGAATCTTTCCGGCCGTCTACTAAGGCGCCGTGGGATTAAACAACGGCGACAGTCAGGACCTCTAGCAGCGTCACCGCTGCAGCAGCAGCAGGTAACTCAGCTCTGCAGACGCCTCAGGCCTCCAGCACCAAACTCACCATCACAGGAACAAGTTTATCTGTAAACATGCGACCCGACAATGAGGTTGAACATCCGGGGTTCTGTGAAATGATCCACACATTGTGTAACTATTGTGTAATGTTTACATTGAAAATGGCACTTGATACAAATAAAAGGTTAATACATTTGCCATTAATGGTTGTTTGCTTGTTTATAATATGCATAATTAATTTAAACCTGATTTCCTTACAAGAAACAACAGGGATCTCAGAAACTTTGCCTGCACTGTCCAGTAAAGTTACTGAATCGATTTCAAGTCACTGAATCGAATCAAATCGGACCGTTCTAAATTAACCCAGATCGTCCATGAATTCGAATCGAATCGTTGTTAAAATGAATCGTTACACCCCTACTAATTTTAGATGGGGTAGTTGTTTTAACTATACCACTAGTTGGGGTGGGATTGGGACCACTGTTTGCATCAGAAGTTTAAATACTACAGGTAAAATGCATAACAGCATTAGCACTATAGTACTATAAATACTTGTTAGAAAGAGTAAGAGCTGTAGTAACTAGACATATGACTAGTTGTGGTATTATTAGTGTTGCAGTCTACTTTCACAAGCAGGAACTCAAAAATGTTGGTAGAACTAACCAATCAGAGGTGCAACAATATTTCCTTGTTTATATCTGAGAGCGGTGTGTACTGGGCTGAGACACCAGCGTGTAGCTGAGCGCGTGTCCACTGGGAGGCGCTAACCCTCTGTGACAGACACAGCAGCAGGCAGAGGAAGAGGAGGAGGCTCCTTTGCAGGAAAGCCTTTGATCAAATAACTGAAGAAGAGATATCAACGTGTAAAGAAAGACAAATGAGTGGAAAAACGACACAAACAACGGTAAAGCAGCCCGAAGGCCCTCTGTGAAATATATGAACACTGTTAATGAGCTTATGAGAAGGGAACAAATCTGAAGTGAAACCTTCAAGGCCAGGATGAACTCTGGTTTAGATTGACTCGGTTTGTCTGCTGAAACAAACGGTTTAAGGTAAGTGGTTGGAGACTTATGGATTGTAATGAATAAAAATGATATTCAAAACCAAATAAAGGATCCAGAAATACAATATATTTATAGCCTCATTATAATATTTGATCTATATGTGGTATTCATTTTCATTTATTCAATATAATCTTTATACTCTTTATAAAGATCTTTATAATCTTTATTGTTGCGTCCCTTCCAGGCGTGAATGAAGCGGAAAAATGGGACGCGAAAGAAGAGAGTTAACTCGCGCGATTAAAGCGGGGAAAAATTCGCTTCGCTTTTGGTGTGGACGCACCATCACAGCATTACCATGGCAACCTGTTTGTAGCCTACAAGCGGCCTGTTCCTGAACTTCAGCTCAGGAAGGTTTCTGCTTTGTTTCAGTTCAGTTTTTGGCAAGAATCAAGATCTTGAGAGGAGATTTCAGAACTTTGAAACTTTGTGCAAATTAGCTATTTTGTCAACTGTCAATCAAAATTGATCTTAACCAATCAAAGTACTTCATTAAAACGCTGCGGGTGATGGGTAAGACCATCCATCGATGTGAAAAGACAGTAATTACCAATGAATATCAGTCTGTGTACGTGTGTTAACAACTTGAAAAAAATCACTCTCACAGACACACACACACACACTCACAGTGCCAGCTGTCAGTGTGTTCTGATTAGATGCTTATGTACAGAAACGCGTGAATAGGGCTCCATAATTGCTTGCATGTATGTGCCAAACACGATTCCCTCCATAATTGCAGGTGGAAAAATATGTGGGCGTTATTTATGTGTTCTTTTTTTTTTCAATTATATTAATGTATCTCACCACTTGCAGCCCGTCACATATATCATTTTCACCGTGATGTCTAAACTGTGTGTGTATAGCTATGGCACACAAAGAATCCATCTGAATGGATAAAATCCACTCCGTGAAGCATTTTGATTGTAGACGTTCCGCTTTAGACAAGCACGGAAATGAACAAACTTCATTGTGTTTGTGTTAACATTTTCAGATAATAGAATATATATTAGAAGGTGACATAGACATCCTGACGTCAGCTATTGGTTTGTGAATCACCGTTTTGAAGCCTAATGTTCGGCATTTTAGCTGACAGCATCTTGGATGTTAGCTGCCATTGCCACGTATTTCATGCACCCAGTGTTTGGTGTGAACTAAATACTGTTTATTTGTTGGTTGTAATGTAAATTTTACAAACTTGAGGATTGGTCAATCAGCATATTGAAATGAGGAAGATCAGTCACAACCTTATGAACAAAGTTTGAGCAGAAATGTTTTGACAGGCTGAACCGGAGGGAATCATGTTTAGATATCATAGAGAAAAAGAAAGCGAAAGAAAAGCACGGAAAAAGAGTACAAAGTGGAAAAGAAACATTAAAAACAAGTATTATCCTTGAGAGCAGGGGATGAAGATAGGAGAGAGTTGGCAGAGTGCAGCTGGGTGTTTTCCAAACTGCCAGTCTGCCTGTGAGTCTTGGCAACACGCTGAACCCTCGTTGCGTAACCAGACTACGGACAGTTTCTGAGTGTGTGAAAGTACCACTGGAAACAACAGTAAGACCTCATGTGTCCCTCAGATGAGTGCATAGGGACTTCCAAGTTACTTAATTATTGATCTATAACAATTTCTAGAAGACAAAATGGGAAATAAAACATTCATGTCGTTGCAGAGTTATACATGTGTTTTTTGCCAATAGGTTCTATCGTGTATCTTCAAGAAATGACATGCAGGTATAAGGAAGTAGCAGAATAAAAATAAAGAGACGATTCCTCACATTCTGACAGATTGATCAACAGCCAATCCTTAAGACGCCTCTGCTACATACATCCTCCATATGTGTACTGTAAAGTACTTGGACGTTTTATACATAGGTGTTTCCCAACTTCGCATGCGTGTAGGTCAAAGTGCAAAGCATTGGCTAGATCCTTCTACTCTGAAGGTTTCCACTAACTCATCACAAAGTCTATTCGTTAAACATATTCATGGGAACGTTCAAATGCTTTTTTCAAGGTTGGTGTTGCACATAATTATTGCCATTTAGTTTGATTTCTTGGAAAGCAATCACAGTAATTGATCACAACTATCAAATGAGTAGAAAATAAGAAATGTCAGCTTTCACATGTTATTGCAGTAGCTTGCTACTTTGTAGGATGGTAATGTCCTACACTTTACCTCGCTTGCTGCGAGTTTGGACCAAAGGAACATTTCGTCTGCTTTAGACCCACCGCTGAGTTGTGAGGGTTACAACTTACTTGGGATTGTGTTCTTTTCAATTCTGTGTCAGAAGACTTTAAAAAGCCACCGCTGTCAACTTTTAAAGAACTGTTCCAGAAGTTGTTGGCGTGAAAGCTGCTTGATTTGAGCGGCTTGTTGAGGTCCACTCAGGACAGAAAACCGGTGGTCGCTCCCTCCTCTTTTCCCACACAAAGCTTCTGTTTTTGGCGCTGGCATTACCACACAAGCCCCGCTCAAAGCCAAGGGAAATCTTCAGCAAAACAAAAGCAAGGTAATGTCTTCTTCCAGTAAGCCAGGTGGATGTCATGTTAAGCAGGGCAACATGATGGAGGCATGCGGCGGAGTACATTAAGAAACCATCCATCACATTAAAAAGCCTGAGACATAGAAGATTTCCTGGACATTGATCAGAATAGTGTGTTTATTTGAGTGTTTGTGCGGCTGGGTGTGTGTCTGCTGGCACACCTAGAATCCGGAGATGTGTTTTAGCTTGTCCCGTCCCACAGAACTGAGACCAGTTTCAGTGTTTCTCTGCCAGACTCCCTGTCATGGCAGGAGTACAGAGAGGAGGAGCGAACAGGGTGAGGCAGCAACCACCTACATCTATCGTAGTCAGCCCGTCACGCTGGCTGACGGTAAGCAGCGGTAAATTTCCCGAGTGGAAGTCGGGAAATTTAACACACTTTCGCTTTCTCACGTTTTATGAAACAAGTTCCAACAGGTCTGTCCAAACGTTTTAAACCCTTTTACCGTTTAACCAGCAAGCCTGATGTCCCAAGGAAAGCGCCTTTGAGGAGGCACCCGGTATCTTCCACATGAGAAGCACCAGGCTTCTAACTCAACAAACACGTCGTGCTCATGCAAACTTTTTTTTATTA